CCGGGGGCGCCTCCCTGAGGGGATGCTGGGGCCGCGTCCCCTGAGGGGGCCGTGAGGGGGGACGAAGCCGGTTGGTAGCAGGCCGGAGAGGTTACCCCGGCAGATGGGCTCGGCCCCAGTGAGCTCCTTGGCCCGGAGGCTTTTCTCCCGCCGTGGAAGTCGGAGGAGGGCTGGGGAGGAGACGCTGGTGAGAGCCTGAGGTCTCTCCCGCCCTTCCCAGCCCTCGGGTAAGCCCCTGGGCTTCCCTGACCAGACCTCGTTTTCCTTCAGGTGAGATGCAGGCTGACAGGCTTACCCCGGCAGATGGGCTCGGCCCCAGTGAGCTCCTTGGCCCGGAGGCTTTTCTCCCGCCGTGGAAGTCGGAGGAGGGCTGGGGAGGAGACGCTGGTGAGAGCCTGAGGTCTCTCCCGCCCTTCCCAGCCCTCGGGTAAGCCCCTGGGCTTCCCTGACCAGACCTCGTTTTCCTTCAGGTGAGATGCAGGCTGACAGGCCACGAGATGCCATGTCGGCTGTCAGAGCTGCAGGCGTATACTAATGGCAAGAAGTATCAGCGGCTGATAAAGACAGCCAGAGAGTTTGACTATGGCAAGTTTGAGCCCCATATAGTGCCCAGCACAAAGAATCTGTACGTATTCTTCCTCTTGTGTGTTATGCTTCACACCTTGTTCAATCTATCATCTCGGACATAAAGTGGTCGACCTTTACAAAGTTCTTGAATCTTTATGGGTTTTGGGAGACTTGGAAAGACCTTATAAAGTATTTATCAACTTTGAGCACAGTACTTGTAAGTGAAAAGTTATTAAGTAATAGCATACTTAAACTCTGTCGCTGGCTTTTTCTTTCTTTCTGTGTCTGTCAGACACCAGCTGTTTTGCAAGCTCACTCTCAGACACATCAACAAGTTTCCAGAGCACGTGCTGCGTCATGTCCAAGGGAAGCGCTATCAGAAGGCCCTAAAAACATGTAAGTAGCTTTTCTGAAGACAGAACCAGTCAGTTTTTTCCCCTGAGCTGTTGAGATTCCCGTAGCTCTACATGACGGAAGGGGATCCATTTTCTTTAGATTGACAGTAATATACTGCTGTTGCTGTGTGTGCTCCTCTGCTAGGAAGGAAGACCCCAGGTATAGGGAGCAATAGGTCTCTAGCAAATACCTTGGAACATCCTTAGTTGAGAGGAGCGGTTCTAAAACTTCCCCAGAGAGGGTGGTTCACACGTGTCCCGCACAGTCTCTCTGTTAACATCTTTCCTGTCTTTCATGGTACATAGTATCGATGTAGATTACATGAATGTATATTAGAGTTGGATCTTGACATACTTTTGAGTTGTATTTAATATAAGCTAGAGCTGGAGATGAAAAGGAATAAGGTGACTGTGTGGGCTTTGCTAAGTTCTGCCTGACCCCTTGCACTATTAGATGAGGAGTGCCAGAAGGAAGGAGTGGAGTATGTCCCTGCCTGCTTGCGACAGAAGAAGCAGCGGACACAGCACCCTGATGACCAAATGAACCGGAGCAGGCAGCCTTACAGAAAAGAGGAATTCTGGGAGCCAAAGTCCAGTGATGAGAATGCAGAGGAGACGGACGACAGCATGAGTGACCTGTACCCACGTGAGTAAGAACATTGGTATCATCTATGTCCTGAAGGGCATTTGTTGGCTAATTTTCTCTTGGCTTCTTTATACTGCTCCCTGCTGCTCGTGTGCTAGAGGCATGTGACTTCCAGTTGGGAGTTCCTGGGTTTTGGAAAGCTTACCACCAGTAAATAATAGCAGTCATCACTAAGTAATAACCAGAGTTGGATCACGTAAGGTGTGAGGGGAGGGATACAAGATCCACTGGGATTTGCTGCTTTAGGTATCTCTGCTTTCTTCATTTCCCAGCAAGTGCTTGAGTCTGACAGAAGTTGGTCAGACCGTTCTGTTGACTTATGTCTGGAGATGCAGCCTTGCTGTAGGAGGGCAGAGGTGTAACACTACAGAACCACCCATGCTGAATGGTTCCCAGAACGGGGCTAGTGAGAGCATGAGGCACGTTTCTAATAGAACACCAAGTGTTTCAGTAGTGACATGTACACACTCGGAGACTGGAAGCAACTTGGGAAATCACCTTTAAGATGCCCTCAAAGTAAAGTTAGGGGGAGGCAGAGCTTGTGTGCACAGGAGACTAATTCTGAGCTGAATCTTTGTATTTTAGCTGCACTCTTCCCAGAAAAAATCCCAGCAACTCCACAAACCACAAAGGGCAGCGATGACTTTGCAACAGACAGCGAGGATGATGGAACCAGGCAGAATGGTGACGTGAACGGAGAGGACGGTGGGAGAACGGATGTCAACAGAGCAGTTGGCAACAAAAGGGGAAAGGTGGGAGTCACACTGCCACATGCAGCAGCAGGGGAGTGTGGAACTGGGATCCCATCCTGTAGGTGTTCGTCTGATCTATTCCTATCCGAGAACCAGCAGAAGGTGCAAAGCTGATCAGAATAGACTTTCCCCAAGTGCCAGCCACTGACTCATATCCTGAGGTGTGAATTACTACCAGTAAATGCTTATGCTGCCTGCAGTAACTAGGGATGTTCCTGCCTGTATAAATCTTTGGTGGGATCCTGCTGCACACTTCACAGGGAGACTGAAGCATGCCTTGTGGGTTCCATAATCTTCCTCCTCATACACACAAACAGTAGTTAAAGCCTTTTGAAGTCACAGGGTCCTTCTAGCCCCTTTTTCTGCCTCTTTTGAGGAGGTTTGGAAAGCAGGCAGATGTTACATACATAAAGATGTGTACACCTTTAACTCTAAGGCAGTTCCTGAGGAAGGGGCTGGATCCTTTAAAACCCTATCACACCAGAAAGTGAAGGCTAGATAAAGTTTAGGCTCATTCCTGAGGAGACTGTTGCTGTTTGCATCTAATGAAACCACCTGCCTGTCAGAGAAAAGGATGCTAGCTTGCAGATAGGGCAAGGAAAGATCCTGGCTATCTCCTACCAGCGCTGTGCTTGTTCTGTGGTCTCCTTGGTAAAGGAGACCATACTCAGCTTCTCTTCTTTAAGATACCTTGGGCAGGGCTAGACTTGGGTTTTGCAAAAAGCTGATTAACTCTTTTTTTTTTTCTTCCACAGAAACAGTCAGGCCCTTTAAAGAAGAAATTCAAGAGTCATCATCGAAAATCTAAGATCTTCAAGAAAGCAACCAACGGCAAATAAATTTTATGATAAATACATGGCCTGAAGCCTGTTGTATAACAGCTCTAGAGGCTGCACAAGCCTGGCTGAAGTATGTGCCCATTCCAGTTAACCATTACAGCTGGGGAGGGGAAGGATAGGGTGGAATTAAGTTGTATTCCAACAGCCTTGAGCCACTCCCCACCACTGAGGGAAGGATGGCTGCTGCAGTCAAGTGCTCAGACCTCTTTATGGTAAGATGGGTTTCAGTAGGTGGGGAAAAAAAAAAAAAAAAGCACAGAAGACCACTAACCCCCATTTCCAGCTAGCCTAGCTGTGGAGCGTCACCAGTCACACACCCCAAATGGATACAAAGATGCCATTGTTTTATTTTGATTGTTTCCAAAAATCAAAACATTTTCAAACACAACTAAGGTACAAAATACAGCATAAAATGAGAATTTATACTTATTTCTTTTTCCACATAGAAAGCAAAAATATATTCAGAATGAATTCCAGACCACTTTGCAGAGCCAATTGATAGCTGACATCCTGCTTGTGAGAGCTTCTCAGCCACGGGGAGAGGTCGCTGTATTTTTGGGAGATGCACAAATACAGCAGTGTATGTAGGAAACTAGAATCTTCTGCATCAGGACTCACGGTAAGTCTGCCAATTGCGCTGCCTAGAAATGCCTTGTAATGCCCTCCACCTAGCTGTGCCCCCCGCAATACTTCTGCTGCAAGGGACAGTATCGGTTCCTTTTCTGGGATCTTTTGGTGGAAAGGGGACTTGATTTTCACAGAGGAAACCAGTCAATATTTCAGACTAGTCCATCACCCAGCTCCTTAGACAAGACACAAGGAAGTTAAGAAAGCCAACTTAAGGGCTACTCACAGGAATTGTTTCTATCATTCCATTTATAAATACTATGAACATCAACAGCAGTTAAGATATCTGAGAACAGCTGCCTTGATGTAGCCTGAAACCATCCTAAGACCTGGAGTGAAAGTGAACAAAAGCATCCTGTGCTGCACATCCGTAACTGAAAGGAGCAGTTTTGTTTTGCTATGAAGAGACAGGCACAGTGAAGACTTGAGGTGAAAAACCTATTTAAAAAGAAAGCTTTATATGTGACCTGAACATAAATGCTGGCTTCCCCTCCCATCTACTCCCACATACCAATACATTTCTTTCAGCAGCAGCACATCTTGCTATTACATAGGCTGTTTTCCCCTTAAGATGATGAAATCACTAGTTTAACACTCAACAGTGCTCTTCTATTTGTCATCAGTTCTTTCAGCCTAGTTTTCTTTCCTAAAATGGAACCGTTAAGCTGAACTGTCCAGGTTAGTGTCCTTACCAGGAGACCCTAGTAAATAGCTCCTGCTGGAGGTATTACTCCTTGAACAAACTGTCGAGCAGCTTTCTCAAGGGAGACAACAGTGCAAGGAATCAACATATTAGGAAATTGGTAGGGCTCATGCTTTCTAGAATTCTTTCATGATCTAGTGAAACAGGTTCGCCTAGTTTACTAGCAGAGGACAAAATGCCTCCTCTGATCAGCACTAAGCATGTTCATGGCACAAAGGTGAAAACAGGGCCTTCCTCCTCACCATTATGCTGAGGAGTTCCTCCCTCTGAACATGCAAGTTACACCCCTGGCTGCTTATTTGCTGCACAGGCTTTGCACTTGCGTTCTTCAGCTATAACCATTTGTGTACAGAGTAGAGAACTGGGGCTACGGCAGCACACAGCTGACTTCCCCATTTCCTCCCTACACCTCTCGGGCATGGTCTGAGATGGCGGAGAGAAGGGGCTGTCCTGGAGACTTCAGCACCCCAGCTCTTCCGCTGTTCAGTCAACTGGGACTTTCACAGCTGAGAGACTGACAGAAGTGAATGTAAGAAGCAAAGACTACAGATTAGAAGATGACTGCTCTCATCACACATGTACTGAGTGCAGGGGAAAAGGGGAAGTTTCTGTAATTCTGAAGACACTTTCACCAACAACCTGCAATTCAGATATGAACTGGGGGCATATATAGATGGAAGCTGGTTAATAGCAGAAAGGAGCTTTTATTATGGAACCTGCAGCACAACTTGGCTCCCTTCTTGGGAATTCAGGAGGGGCAACTGGGGAAAGAATGCTGAATAAAGAGTTCTTTTGGCACAGAATTTTAACAGAATCTAACATTCTGTCTCTTCAGGAGTATCTCCCCCCTTCCTTCTTGAAATTTGATTAGCCATACAGGATTCCTGATTAGCAATACAGGCTTCTCCCTTGTTCCCCTCAAGGGAAGGGAACTGGGACATATTAGAAAACCCTCTCCCTTTTCTTACCTACAGCAGGGTACAATTATTTTCAGGGTTTTCTTTTTGCCTTTTATTTGGGGCAGGAAACACCTCCCCTCTTGTTAAACAACATCTAATTACAGGCCTCTCTGATTATTCTTCTTTTGATGCTGCTTTCCACCTTGATAAGCAGTGCTATAACCAGCAATGGAACTCCTTATGCACAAGACCATTTTGATGAGGGTGAGAAAGGGGATCCACTTTTTTAGTTATAGCTAGAACCCAACAGCACACTGAATGATACAGCTGTATCTGCTCACAGTACTTCAAATTTTAAAACATTGCTGACATTAAAGACGGCAACTGTTCTACTGCAACTCACTGAAGTGTCAGCAAAATGCAGGTTCCTTGGGTTAGTTCCAAATCTAGGAAGTTAGAATAAGCCTAGGCAACATTCCTTGAAGAAATAGGATTTTATCTATTGTATTACTGGTGCCACTGTAAATCAAATTCAGAACATCTGTGCCTTTAATAGGAAGGGGGCATGTACGTGTAAAATGCTGGCAGTTTTTGTTGAATCCATAGAGAATCAGTTCTGAACTTAATAGGTTATGTCCCAAGAAGTGTTGCTATTCCTGTTACCACTCTTTTTTCTTCTCATCCATGGAGACTCCACCAGGGCCCAGTGCAACCACAAGGAGGAGCCCTCCAATTACAGACATGGTCTGGAAGAAGTCGTATTTGAGGAAGTCATGCATGGGCTTGTAGGCTGGGACGGTCCAGAAGGCATTGAAGTAGATGTTGATGCCAAACAGCCAGATGACTAAAGTCAAGGCAGCCAGCTTAGTCTTGAAGCCAATTGCCACCAAGATAATCAGGGCTGTGCCCACAATGTTCTGCAGAATCTGCAAGGAAAAAACCCACAAGCTTACATATGATTCTTAAACAGATATACAAACATCAGGACAGAGCATGGATAAGTTCAGCAAATGGGTTGTCATGGCACAGATGATTTAATAACTTTTCTAAATATTCTACTAAAAAATAGATTTAAGTTAAAAGCATTGAGTACATCCTGCAGCCAATCTGGGAGCTGGTACTACATTCTAGTTTCTTAACTGATACTTTTATACTCGGATACTTACAGAAAAGAAGTTCATATCAAAATGTAGCAGTGTCATGAACATGAGGACCAGAAGCACACGGCCCCCCAGCTGCATGTACTGTTTAGGAGAGCTTTCCCGCATGGTAGGGACACCAGCAAACATGCTCTTCCCCTCTGAGCGTGACTCAGCCAAAAGCAGCAGTAAGCCTCCCCCAAGGGCAAGGTTCCTACAGAAAGATAGAAATGGAGGGGAAAAAAAGCAGTTTATTACAGCTTGCACTGATCTACAGATTTGAAGTCTCGCCTGACAATTTCAACTCAGTAAGAATCTGCATGCTAGGGAGGAGTGACCCACTCTGCACCTTGTGATGTATGTCTGCATTAGACTCCACAGCTGAAATGGCAGCATGGTACACAATTTACACAAGCCTGCATAGACAGGTACAGCCTGCCAGAGAAGTCCAGCACCCACAGTTCAGGCAGAGTTGCTTAGCATCTATTACAGCATGCATTTAGTTGTGTTGAAGTTATTCTGTACCTCAGGTTTAGCCATATATGCCAAAGTAGTGCAGAGGTTGCTTTGAGAAAATACAACAGTGGTACCGCTAAAAGAAGTTACACATTTACAGGGTTGTAGTAAGCCCAGAATGTAGTGCTGCTCCCTGCCCTCCCCACAGAGGAGTGAAAAGGCAAAAGCCAGACATCACTCAGGATTTTACAAGAAAGCTCATGTTTAAGAACCCTGCCTTCTACTTCAGGAAGGTGTTAGATTTAAAATCCCAGAAACCACTCTAATACCTACATGCTTTGTTTTCTCAGAAAATGGCTTCAGTCATGCATAAGCATGGTTGCTATTTTAGCCATTTAGGAAATAATAGCAGCTCACTGATCCAGTCTAGACAGTTGTTTGCGAGCTCTCAGCAAGGAGGTTAGTAGCAGAAGCACTTAGATCCTAGTGGGTTAGCATTAGTCTTTCCCTTCTACAGCACTGAGCCAGCTGTCTAAGGTAAAAAAAAATCAGTAGTCTGTTTTAAAAGTGCTGTCATTTCTTGTTTAATGCAAATGCATCATTTATAAAATCTTCCTAGTAAATACCATGTACAAAGATTACTTCCACTATCAGAGAGTGGCAGTGACAGACAACAGTTTTAATTGTTTTGATAAAAGCCTTAAGAAGTAGACATACCTCATCAAGAACTTCAGGTCCCATAGAATGCTGTATGCAATTGTCTAGGCAAAGAAGAAAACAGCTTAGAACACCATATAAATTACACTGAAGTTCTGTGATTCTGTTCTGAATTTACGTTATAATCTCAAGCCTGTCCTATCCATAGCAGAAGTCAATTAGAAGTGTGTTATACTGAAGGAAACAAGGTAGGTTACATCAATGTGGTCAGCGTAAAACAGAATTTGACTTGTGCTTTAGCCCCCACAACTCCTCATTGGTTTTGAGCAGGAAGGATGCTACTAGCTAGGATCCTTTGTGATGGAGACAGTCCTTTATAGCAGCTGTGTGCTGAAGGCCAAAGTAACTGCAAGTTCCACATTTGGCATGTTACTGACATACAGGTAAACTGCAAGTTACTTCTGCTAAATTGGTCAAGTATTGAATCAACATCTCCAGCTGACTAATTGCAATTACAGC